GCGCCCCCCTGGCTCCCCACAGAGACACCTCCCCTTCCACGGCACCAGCCTCCCCCTCTCCTGCTTGCTGCAGGGCTGCAAAGCCTTTTTTAAAAGTACCTTCAAAGAAAAAAGGCTTTTCCTTAAGAGAAGCTTCATTAATGCACTGAAATTTATCTGCAATTTCAACACGGAGTTTAACAAGGTGACAGTGGCCCTCCCTCCTCCTGCACCGCTCAGAGGATGCCGCCATTTACAGCGGAATGATGGACCCAGATAGCAGGGTCTGACGGAGAAGTCGTCTCCCTTTAGCTGCCACACAACCACCGCACTCGGCTTTCGCAGCGCTGTGCTGCCCGCGGAGCCCAGAAAACGCCACGCGACGCGCAGGGCGCGCGCTCGCTGCTCATCACCACCCACAACGCGAGGCCAGGCCACGCGGGCTGGCAGCCTCAAAACCCAACGCAGCGGTTTGCGGAGGGAGACAAGCGCTCCAGCAATCCCAGCCAAAATAAATCTCATTTGCTCTAACCCTTTCGGGGGAAAAAGCTCAAGGCTGTACCGCGGGCTGGCTGAAGCCATGGGACTCGGCCACCGACCTCGACAGGACAAGGACTCCATTCCCAAATCAGTGTCTGGGGTTTTGTCGTGAGGTCGGAGACCTCTCCGCGCGCAGGGGAAGCAGGCACGCTCCCTGCAGACCCCTTCTGCCGGGGGCACACGCTGCTGCGACCGGCTTCCAGACCAAGCGGGATGGCCACGTGCTGCTGGAACCACAACGTTTTTACACTAAACTGCAACTTTCCTCAAGGTTGGCCTTTCCTGATGGCAAAGGCCAACGCTGATGGCCAGGCCACACCACCAGCACGCAATGCATCCACCACTGGCTTTAGGAATCAAAGGAAGCACGTCCTCAACCCCCCCTCCCCCAGCGCCGGGATCCGCAGAAGCAACGGGCGCAGAAGAAGGTGCGGACCGCTGCGAAGTCGCGCTGCTTGCACGGCTGTCACTGCTCAGGTGGGTGCCACACTCACGGCGTGGATGAACACGGAAACAGACCCCAACCGGTCCTTCAGCCAAGCGCAGACCTTTCTAAAAAGGCCAATTTTCAGGTGGTCCATCTGGCTGTATTGGGCCCCGCAGAAGATAGCCGGGGCGTCAGCGGGTGCACATGCCTGCACGTTACGGACTGCACCCGAACGCCTGGAAGAAGGATCTCTTGCAGCTCATTAGGACAAACCCCGATGACTTTGCACATAACACACACTTAGCTGTGGCAGGGGGTTCCGTCGCTGCCTCACTGAGGATCTGCAGCCACGTGGTTGCTCAGTATGTTTATTCGTCACACATGCATCGGTCATGCCTTTGCGATCAGGGGACTGAAGTGTGGTTGGCCGTTAACGAGATCCAACGGGTACACAGAAAACGTGGGTAAATTTAGTGTCCGTGCATTAAGTGGATACTGGCAAGAGTTTGGCAGAGGAACGAAGCTGTCCGAGTTTTGAGTTCCCCAGCTTTGCCCACACGCCCGAACGCTGCCTTGGGGCTCCTCCTGCCACGTGCAGCCCGGGCACCGCGCAGGCGTGGGCAGCCACCACGCTCACTCTACAGCAGCTTTCTTTACGGGGGTTCATTTTTCCACTTGTGATTCATCTGGACCAAAATCCAGAGCTCCTGCCAGGCGAGTGTGCTTGTCCCCTGCAACAAGCACGTCGCCTACAACCCCCGGACTGGCACCCATTTGAGTCCTTCCACTGGGATTTTTAGGGGCCTGTGTTTTCGTTAACTCTTTGTGAAAAACCTCACGGAGAGACAGCAGCAGGGTGCGTCCTTCGCAGGTTAAGCTGTAACGAAACAATTTGGACTATTTCAGGCCAGAACTGTTGCAAAAAGTACTCTGAAATCTCAGAATTGAATGACTGACAGGTATTACTGCAATGCATGTTAAAAAGCGAATAAAAACACTTTTGGAACAACGCGAGGAGCTCCCCAGACTCCTGCTCGCGCTCCTGCTCTCCCTTTACCTGCTCACTGGAAGCAACAGGACAGGGGCTGCGGCCAGCGACCGCAAGCTGCCCCAGCCCGGGAGCGGCGGCCCCGATTCCGCGCCGCCACACAGAAAATAAAGACATTTTTCCTGAAAGCAGTTAAGTAATGTTTTTCAGTCACCCTCCCAACACTAACACATTCATATCAGGCTAAAGAGAAAAAAAAAAAATAAAAATCTGCTAAGTCTATACATAAAGGCAGATATTTGCTACATGAAAATAAAACTTAAATTTCAAGTCTATTAATTTTGAAAACATTCTAGTAACAACATTTCCTGCAATAATTTGTTGAAATTACGGGAATAATTTAGAAATCTAAAGCCAGGTTTGTAATACGACCACATAGTAGCTTCAAGATGATGTTAGGTGAATAAATACTCAAGCCCCCCTTACCTCCGTAAACTTTTGGTATAGCTTAGTCACTTCAGCATAAGCCTGGGGAAGGACACCATTATAGTCTGACCTTGCCGGCCACGATTCCTCGCTGCAACCCCAGGTGGGACTGCGCCGGGAGCCTGAACGCTGCCCGAGGCTGCCAGCGCCCAGCGCAGCTTCGGTGTTCCCAATATTCAATTTGTGGCTGTAAACGTCCTTTCCCAGCACATCCTTCAAGTCCTGAACACCTGAAATCCGGAGTCTGGAAACGAAAGCTTCTGAGCTGGGTGAAAGGGAACCCCGCTGCTGAGCATGAGCAAGCACAGCAGACTCAACACAATTTTAAGTCATAACTCCAGAGGGGCTCTCATGGAATGGCAAGATGATGGGGAAGAGGAAGAATTCTTGAATTTTCTTTTCGAGTTGTTTCAGTCTGTTTAACAGGAGCTTCTGAAAAGTGTTGTAGAAGCTGTGAAAACTGCTTATGCTATAAATACCAGGCAGGAGGCAGCCCCAGAATCTCAGATCTCAATCCAATGGAAGGAAAGCAAGTGATGTTTCGGCTTTTTATGGAAACGGTGAGTAGGTGATACAGACACTTCAAAATAAATTAAGTAGTTGCATAAAAAAATGTAAAAAAAAAATATCAAGCTACTAAAATTAAACGTGAGATTTTGCAACAGACCTGAAAGTCAGAACCTTGGGTTTATATAACCAAGAGCTCTTATCTAGTAACAACCTCGCTGGAAAGGCAGGTGATTTCAGGTGTTTGCTGTCAGCATGACCACAATCTCGCATGTAGATGGACTCACCCCCAGCCACGGAGGGAACTGCAAAGTACAGCATCTTGGCTGTGGATTTCACGACCTGATGTTTCCAAGCAATCTTCCTCCTCTTGCTTTTGGCGTGCAAATTTGTTACAAGCAGTGAAGGATCTTCTGCTGAGCTCTGAAGGGGGGCTGAAAGCGTCTTTTAAGTTCTTGCAGGGATAGTTCATGCTCCGAGAGAGATCCTCTCCTCAAAGAAGAGATCCTGCTCTTCTCTCCGTTAGCACGGTGGTGTAGCGACACGTCTGAAGGCAGGTTTGTTTGTATTTTGTTTTGCATCCTTATCTGCAGAGATGGCTTTGTTTTGATTGTTTTCCTCTCACAGCACGAGACACTTACAGTTCCTAATTATTCTGGAATAGATGATTGGGTGAAGAGATGACGTCGCTATCATCCAGGGAGACTGGAATTAAGTAATCTTTTGAGGGTAGGTGAATGAAGTCAATATCCCAACTGCAACACTGTGGATTTGTTTCTCCTTCCTCCCACATGGGATCTGCTGACTGGTGCTAGAATATGATTTCCTGAATTCCAGAGGGCTGAGGAAATTTGTTGTTGTTAACTGCTTTCATGACTGTAGCCACCAAGCTCTGATCTAATTGTCCCGGAAGGATAATGACCTAGGGGTTGCAGTTCTTGAGCCCAACCTCCTGGAAAAGCGAGGTATAAAATTCCGGCTCCAGCTGCCTGTTCCGGTATTTATTGACAATGTCTGCGATTTTCTGTTTTCGGCGGACATGTGGGGGGTTGTACGAATCACTTTCCAGCCTTTTTCTGCGACAAATATTTATTACTGTCTGCCTCACTAAAAAACCTGAAAAAGAAACAACATTTGAATCAAATTTAAACAAATTCAAGTCTGTGCCCCTGTGCTGGTTTTGCAGCTAAAGACAGTTCTGGGTTCTGTCCCATCTAGAAACCCGGGCAGATGCTCAGCACCAACAAGCCAAGAGCTTTTCTCAGTGAGTAGCTGGTAACAGATAACCACGGTCCCCAGGCCTGTGCAGACGTTTTACTGTGAAAAATTAACAAGAAAGGGACCGAGTGAGTCAGTGGTACCCTAAACTGGCTGGAGGAGGAGGATTTCTGTGCTTTGCCAGAGCCAAGCAACCGCCTGCAACAACACCCTCAGGACCAAAAGGGGAAAGACTCCAGGTCAGCTAACACAAGAACAGGGCTACGAGGATGGTGAGGGGACTGGAACATCTCTCCTACGAGGAGAGGCTGAGGGTCAGCCTGGAGAAGAGAAGGCTGAGAGGGGACCTAATATATACTTACAAATATCTGCAGGGTGGGTGTCAGGAGGATGGGGCCAAACTCTTTCCAGTGGTGCCCAGCAACAGGACAAGGAGCAACGGACACAAACTGGAGCATGGGAAGCTCCAGCTGAACCCGAGGAAGAACTTCTTCCCTCTGAGGGTGCCGGAGCCCTGGCCCAGGCTGCCCAGGGAGGCTGTGGAGTCTCCTTCTCTGGAGATATTCCAGCCCCGCCTGGACACGGTGCTGTGCAGCCTGCTCTGGGTGACCCTGCTTGGGCAGGGGGTTGGGCTGGGTGACCCACAGAGGTCCCTTCCAACCCCTGCCATGCTGGGATTCTGTGAACAGCAGTGACAGCCCCTGGCCGTGCCGCACCAGGACATGCAGAGTGTGCGCAGGCCCTGAGGTTGCACTGGGTAACGCCAGGGGAGCCTTCAGGGTGCAAAAAGTACCCGTCAGTACTTTTTTTCCAGCAGGAGCTGCAGAGCTTGGAACAGGGGATGAGGACAGACTTGACGGGTTGTGGCTGGAAACATGTTTCTCTCGGCCTCACTGCTTTGCCACTGTTGTTACCTCGCTGTAACTCCTACCACTGTATAGGGCAGGGAGGAGAAGGTTGGGAACCAAAGCAGTAACCTCAGGTCAAAGTTGGCAGTGGACTTTATCCTGGTTTATTCTGAAATGAAATTCATACGCCTCTAATGAAGCAAGTGTCTGTTAACCCCTTTGCTGTTTGCCAAGCACTTTCTCACAGGCAGAAACAGTGTCTTCCTTATTTAGAGAACTGACTGCACACAAACCATATCTGCTGAACTTAGAGACGAGACAAATTTCGTTGTATTCATCATCCTGATGCAGCTGAAAAAACAGCCCAACTCTAGGAAAATACACCTGATTCTGTTCCAGTGCAAGCCATCGTCATCAGCTGAATTCACAAATGTTACCTGAAGGCCCAGTCTGGCTTCCATTTCCCGATCGCTGCATTCAGCATGCAAAAACCAGAACCTGAAAGTCACCCCCAACAGACCCCTACAACACCGGTTTTATTGTTGTGTCGAGATATCCTAAGGTTCATTTATTCATTTCGCTCCATCTCGGGAATTGCTCTCACTGGAGTGAGATTTCCAGTTACTAAAGCTACAGCAGCACAGATACCAGGACAGGCCCACGAATCTGCCCAGGAACACAGGAGAAGGCAGACAGCACACACAGACCCCTGTTCACACAGGCCTGCATAGTAGGTTAAGTATTTTTACTGAACACATTAGAAAATCCTCAACTGCTGTGGCTTTTAATCACTACCTGGCTTGTAAAACAGGAGGAACCACCACAGCACGCCAGCACAGCCCAGAAATTCAGCAGTACCCCCCGGCAGTACCCACCCAGCAGCACCTCGGCTCGCAGCGCTGAACACTCAGCTCGCACTTCTGATCTCTCTTACCCAAGCAACAGGCACTCACCTTCTCCTCCCACCACTGCTAGCTCCAGCCCCTCACTCCTCTCCTACTGCAGCCCCAGCGGAGCCCGGCTACGCAGCGTGCGCGGAGTGCTGCCTGCCTGCTCCCTCTGCTGTTCCTGCCACCGCTGCCAAAAGCCTGTTTGCATTCTGTTCTGCCATGCCCAACGCTTCTTCCAGTGACAGATCCCAGACCATGTGTTCTGCAGATTTATTATTATTATTGTTAAAAAAAACCTCAAAACACGAGTGTTCCCAAAAATCTTTAGCTTACCAAGAGCTCTCCTACTGACGATCATTCCATCCACCAGTGGGATAACCATATTGAATTTCCCAACTGCTCCTTGTAGTTTTATCCTGAACAGGCCAGTGTTTAAAGGATGGATGAAGATCACAGGAACTTCCTTCTCGGGAATAGCAGATCTTAAGGAAAAAAGCACAACAACTTTAACTCAGTTTTACAGCACTGTGAGTTAATCTATAGATGAAAAATGAGCACTTTAAGAGTGAATAGAAGGTTAAAAATGTCTTGTGGCTAAACCAGTGGGACTCCTGTGTGCATCCTCTGGACTTTAGAAGGGTTGCATCAACTGTCCTGTTTCTGTGATCTTCCGTCACCACAGAATTTGAGAGCCCTGCAGACAGGGCTTGAAGCCTCACAACACATAGGCAGCACTAACCGCCTCACAGGGGAGTGAAACAGGAGGGAGACTAACCACAGACTCAAGATAAAAACTACACCTTTTCTGTTCCTTCATTTATGTTTAAAGTGCAGTAGTCCGAAAAGTTCTGTCATTTTTTCAACAACAAAAAAAAAATCCACAGAGGAAACTCATCTGCCGCTTAACATGGCTGCCTAGAGTTTTCAGGGTTGCCTGTGAATGCCGAAGAACGCAGGTAACCTCAGTCATGACTCCTACAGTGCAGCCGAAACTGCTGTCCGCGAGCATCGAGGCAAGTAACGAAGGTAAGAGCAGTCTTACCTTAGGGAAGTGCTACTGTTGGCTGTAGTTTCCACACCAGTGCTGGTCTCGGACACCAGATCGGGGAGGGGGAAGTTCTCTGTAAGCAGAGGATGCACTGAATAAAGTTTACCTACCCTACCTTCTTTTTTGTGGGGTTTTTTTGTTGTTGTTTGTTTTGTTTTTGTACAAAGGAAGATTATTTATCATCAGTCAAAACCACGCAGTCCTCAAGCATTTATACCATGGCTGTTCTTGCCCTGCTGGTGATGTGAAGTCTTTGTTTTCAAGCTCAAGCATTGCTGGAGTGCACAGACACACCTCAGCCAGCCTGCGCTCAACAGGTTCGGTAACACCTCAATCCCAAAGGCCAAAATCTCTAGAGGAACAGCGAAAGCAGGAAGGAGGGGAAGTACTTCAATCACAAAAAGAGCTTTCAAATTCTTATTCAACAGCACCTTCCCCTCTCCACAAGTAATCAGCTTCAAGAACAGTGCTGGGGGTTTCACACGACACCGCCGCTTACATCCGCGGTTCCCCTGAGCCCTGCTCCAACACACGGAGCGTTGCTCCTCGAATCCCGGCTCTGCAGATCCTCACCATAACTCAGCACGGTGCTGCCACACACTCGGTAACACCCGACTGGGTACTGAAGGTGCAGGAGAAGGAAGCAAGAACTCGGATCCCTGGAAGGGGCTGTTGCACTTCCCATTACCTTGTTTAGGGGCAGGAACAGAGAGAGACCACAGAATCATAGAATCTTTTGGGTTGGGAGGGACCTTAAAGGTCACCTCATTCCAACCCCCCTGCCATGGGCAGGGACCCCTTCCACCAGCCCAGGGTGCTCAGAGCTCCATCCAGCCTGGCCTTGAACCCTGCCAGGGAGGG